TGCAGAGAGAGAAGGGAGGGAGAGAAAAGAGAGGAGTCACACCTCTCGCTCGCTGCCAATCAGCCTGCGATGTACCTCATCGTCCACCATGGCCGGCCGACTGTGAGTCACTGAGGGCAGGGCTGGTCTTCGAGCGGTGCGACCCGTCTGCACGCACCAACGAACCAACAGGCACCACGCCAACAGAGAAAGAAGAACAAATGCATGCGCTGCATTCGTCATTGCATAGATCTGCTTCATTAAATGGTGTGTGTCCTCTCACCGGATCGCCTCCAGGATGCTTCTTCCAGCTTAGCTCGCAGACTTAGGACATTGCGTGAAACTCTCATTCATGGAGGGACGAGAAAAGGAAACGCAAACACACTACATAGACAATGTAAGTATTGTCATCAGGCCTGCTGGATGAAAATGCACTGGGTGGATGGCTTCTGCAGGTACTTATGTACTGCTTGTGTTGCGGTGCATGGGGCTGCTCTCGTGTGCACAGGACACAAAACAGGCAGGCAGACAGACGTCATCCGACCAACCTTCACGCAACATCAACGTGCAGGTGGCAGACAGACAAAGTAAAGCGGACAGGCGTGTTCGTCTGTCATCCAGTGAATGCCCGATCGGTTCACACTATCAACAGGCAAAGCAAAAGCAATCGTCGATCGGACGAGTCACTTAGCGATGAACATTCCCTACCTGCCCCATTCATAACCCCACCACACATACTGCGACGCGACATCCAACCCTCCAACCCTCCGACCCACCTGCACCCACCCCCCCAGCTACCTACCTTTCCCGCCCCGCCCTTCCCCTTACTTACTATGTGCACACTGACTACGGGCGGCGGCGGGGGCGTCGTCCTCTGGAGGAGGATCACCATGTGCATCAGTCAAACAGTCAACAAGCACACAGCCACCACAAACCGGGCAGACGCCCCGTCTGGGACGTTCCGAGGGCCAATGCCCGATCGGCAACACATTCCACCCGCCCCTGGCGCGTCTTGATCACCGGCACCTCCCCTGGCCGCTGGAAGGGCAGGATCTCGGGGTACCGCACCTCGGGGTGGTGCACCGGCAGCCACACCACCTCCGCGCCCGCCGCCAGGAGCTCCCTCTGTTCCCTCTTCTCCATGTAAGGCATGGCGATCACGGCCCTGGACGCTACCGCATCGGCCGGCTCGGTGCACAGGAGGACATAGGCGGAGGTCGCCGACGCCAGCGCGAAGTGCACACCCACCCCCAGTGCCAGCCCGAAGGTGCACGACAGCTGCCTCTGCGCCAGCCCCTCCACCGGCACACCACACATGTGTGACCCTGGCAGGATGTCCTTGGCGCCTGGCTCCAGGTACCGCTGGAGGGCCGGCAGCACGTTGGGCACGGCGGCTCGGCAGACGTGGAGGGGCGCCACGGCGTTGACGCAGGCGTACTCGTCCCCTGTGGCGGTCCTCGAGAAGTCCATCACTACCCCATACTTGCTCGACAGCGGCGCGTGGAACACCAGCTGGCGGTCCTCCGGCGTGATGTAGCGGGCGGACTCAACGAAGCGAATGAGCGACACGACCTGCCCCTTGTGGCACACCTGAGGCAGAAAGGTGCACATTGCAAACCACACACGGACGATGGACGATGAGTCAGTGTTGCATACCTGCGCCACAGGGGATGCGGTGCCGGCGTCCCTGCCATGGTAGACCATGAAGGGCCCCCTGATGGCCCGACACAGGTCGTCCAGCTGGAGCTGATGTCGGACATCGTGGCTGGCCGGCATTGTATTCAACTGGTCCCGACACGCCTGACGCATGCGTCAACACAAAACACGGCAACATGCCTATGAGATGGTCACTCTGTCTGACAGTGTCACCCCCCATGTACCTGTCGCTCCCCGTCCTTGGAATCTACAGTAGATATATGTCCAGTAGAGTCAGATTCTGCCCTCACTGGCGCACACGGCTGCTCCGCCGCGAACGAAGCAGGGACCTGACCCATCGCTATGGCTAATCTGCATCAACCACTGGATCTCGAGACTTCCGCCATGCGCACAGCGCTCGGCCCATCGACGACGATTTCATGCACTCATGCGAAGCTGCGCCAAGCAGCGGCAGGCCTCCTCTCTCCGCTCGTGCCCGATTGCTTGCAGCTGCGAGCTCAGAAATGAGAAGCAAGAGAGATGAGCGCAGCGAAGCGTCTGGAGGCGGTGTGGGAGCGGCAGGTGTGCCAGACGCTTCCCACTCTGCGACTCGAACACGTCCTCCTGCAGAGACTCATCTACAAGGTGAGGTGAATCAAATGGGGATAAGTTCATGGTGTCTGAGCTGTGGTGTGTCTGTGCGGTGTCTGTGTGTGTGAATGCAGCACGGCAACCAGCACCGGCGCAAGCCCAACCTCATGGCGTTGAAGGAGCTGCAGCTGCACATGGACGCACTCCTGCGCGCCGACCTGAGAGCCATGGGAGCGCAGCTGCAACTGGCTTGCAGCACGCTGGACACCATCCAAGACCATGACACACGATGCAAGGTAGGTCACTGACTGACAAATAATGACAAAGTTCATTTCGCGCGGCGATCACGTGGGGATGTGTTGTCTGTCGTGTAGGTGGTGAGCCTTGGGTGTGGGGTGCTGACGGGGTTTGGCGAGACGTTGCGTGTGGTTGAGGAGCGGGTGAGGCGTGCCGCCGTGGCCATATCGCAGCAGATCGCCCACACCTTCTTCCTACCGATGCACCTCGCCGCCTTCGCCGCACTCAGGCAGGACAGCCAAAAACGAAACGATAGAACCGACAAGCCAGCAAACAGATGGACACAGTGCTTGCATGTCTTGTGCCTATGTATCCTATTCCTTCAGCCGATGCTTGCGTCTTCTGGCCGGCATGCGCAAGCCCATCCGCCCGTTCACACAAGCACTGCTGTCCAAGAGAACACCACAACCACCCGCCGTCACCACCCAGACCCAGCAGCACCTACAGCCATCCCCCCTCCCTGCCCCCGACTTTCGGCCACTTGACGATGAGCTGGCATCACACAGACGAGAGAGCGCCGCCTCGAGCGGCGGCGAAGACTTCGATGGCAGCCGCTTCCTTGAGGACCTCTTCGGGGGGCCCATCAGAGACGTCAGGAGAGACGCCGAGAGGCCTCAACCCAAGCGCACACGACGTGAGCCGACGACACCCGATTATTGTGCTGAAGCGGCACCGCCCCCTGCAAAGAGGGCGCGGCGATACTACAGGAGTGGTGTGCGTGCCCCGGTGCGTGAGCTGCGGCGTGTGTTTTGGTATCGGTCGGTGTGTCGGCGGCCGCCGCACCGGTGGGTTATGAAGAGGGTCGAGTCGAGGTTGATGTGGCGGGAGGCGGTGAAGCTGATCAGGGAGGGAGGAGAGGCAGACAGACGAGGGGGATGAGCTGAGGTGACCTGATGTTTGTGGTTGTGTGTCCGTTCCGAGGAATCATCATCCTTGCGCTGAGGCTCTCTCCGCGAGAGTGGCGACTCTCGCGGAGAGACCCTGTGCGTGAGGCGTCTGATGATTCCAGAGAGCGGGCAGACAAATGAAGAGCAAGAGCAGCACGAGCTATTCCACTGATCTGGCTTTCAGTGGTGCCCACCACTGGTGTGACGCGATCGATGGGTGCGTGTTCTTGTGTGCGTGCCGTCTGAGAGTGGCGTGCGTCTTTTCGCAGCGAGAGCCGGTGGACGAGGCAGCAGATGAGATGAATGTGACGGATGGATGGACATGCTCTCATATTGCTGCGCCCGACCGACATTTCTGACTGAGTCCGCTGGGTGGGGTGGACCGATGGGACGGGGGATCGATCCGTGTGGATGTGTATAGACATGTGGATGGATGGATGGATGCTGTTTAGTGCGATGGTCTCAACCCATCCAACACATACATCATAACTCATGGATGCAGGCATGC